CAGTCACAGGGCTCATTCCTTCTAGAGGTTTTAGGAGAGAATCTTTTATCACTTTTTCTAGCCTCTAGAGGCCACTTTTATTCCTTGGCTCACAGCCCCAATTCATCCATTTTCAAAGCCGGCTAGAGAGTATCTTCCAGTCACTCTCTCTGACTTTGATTCTCTTCCCTCTCCTCTTTGTAGGGACTTTTATGATTACTTTGGGCCCACCCAGAATAGCCAAAATAATCTCATGTCAATCACCTTAACTTAATCACATATGCAAAGTATCTTTTGTATTGTAAGGTAACACATTCACAGGCTTCAGGAATTACAGTTTGGAAATCTTGAGTGAGGAGCTTTAATCTGACCAGTGCAAATGGCTTGCAACCTTGACTGTGTATTAGAATCACCAAATTTAAAAAATTCGGATACTCCACCTCCACACCAGAACCAATAACATTAGAATGCCTGGCGGTGGGACTCAGGCAGCAGTATTTAATACTAGTTTGCAGCCAACGTTGAGAACCAATGGTTTAGTTTATGTTGCAATCTCGTACCCTGTTCCCTATCCTTAAGTTTGCTGTGCATGTTTGAGTACTGTTGGGGACATCCTACTTACAGAGTGATTACAGTGCACCCAGAGAGCCTTTAGCCAATAGTAAAGGACTCCAGTAGTTTTAAAATCACTTTCACATATGGACTAGAGTGGCCTGATTGTGCAGATTGTGTTACAAAGACAAATAAAGGAAAAGTGACTTCATGTGAAAGCAAGTTGCCGTTTAGAAGGGAAGCTGTTTTCTATCTATTCCATGCATGTAACTCAGCAACTCCAGTAATGTTATAGGCTAAAGACAGGATTTAATCCATATTCCTCAGTGTCCTTTTTTCCCCAGTAATCTTGAGACTTAAATTTACACTGTACTTTCTGAAAGTATCCCTGCATCTTTGCTTGTATCATTACTTCCTTCATGAAATTCCCACGCTGTTTATCCCAGACTTCCCATTTGACCTTCTTTTCCCCCCAAAACTCGGTTGGTCAACCATTCCTCTAAGTATTCCAGGATCCTCTGGGCCTCGTGAAACCCTCAGGTATTTAGATGTAGTATCATTTGGCCCTTAACCTGAACTGTCTTTCATTATTATTTCTCCAAATCTTCTCAACCAATGAATAAACCTTTTAAAGCAGAGACCTTAAATTACACATTTTAATTCCCATTAGATAAGTGTCTTGCACATAGTAAGCAATCAGTAAATGGTGTTGATTTGAGGATCCCCTTTTGCCCTAAAATTAGACACCAGTTCTTTTAAAAAAGATTTTCTTGTCTATACACAAAACCAAGTTAAAGATTCTATTATATCATTATTACCTCCATGGGTTAGTTTCACACTGGATTATATTTGTCTGTCTCATGTCGTTTTCTTTGAAGTCTGCATTTTATTCATTGGCAAGTCTAGCACCTACCACAGGAATGACAAAAGTCATCTCAGGATCAATACATAAGAACAGGCTTCAGCCTAGCTCTTCAGATGGTTCCAAAATGTCCATGCGCTGCAACACTTATGTGTAACACAGTCATGCCACATAAGCAGTCACACGAATTGGAGCCCTACGTATCCCAGATAACCAATGCGTGGAAAGTGACATGACTTCTTTTCTTATTATGTATCTTCCTTTATAATTTGCTTTTTATCAAGAAGATATAATCATTGTTAATATGCATGGGTAAAACACAAGTTCAACATACATGAAGTAAACATTGACAGAAAGCTTAACAATTCCAACGGTAGATAATTTTACAATAAGTAAGGCATTTTTTTAACAGCTAATCAGACTATGTCTCACAACCAAAGAAAAGGAAAATGCAATATTCAAAAACCTATAGATGCAGCAAAAGCAGATGTTAGAGTGAAATTTATGCCATAAATGCTTGTGTTAAGAAAACGTTTCCAATAAACAAAATTACACCACAAGGAACTAGAAAAAGAAGAAACTTAGATGAAATTTAGTGAGGAAGGAAATCCCTAACAAAGAAAATCAGAAATAAAGTGGAGACCAGAATAAACAATAACATAACATTGAAAGTACTTTTTTTTTTTTTTTTTAAATTAACGAGACTTTCTTCTCTCCAGAATGAAACTGTTTGGTAGATGAACAAAAATTTAAGAATCTAACACTATTGGTGATTTGTGATCAATATTTTTAGAAGTACTATGAGTCAGGCAAAACATGAATGTAGGCAGATCGATAGCTCTCTCTATAATTTAAGTATTTGCTTTTTTTCTGACTTAATAGCCTATTTTTGAACTATGGCATTTTTGTCACCATATTTTTTTTTAATCTTTAAGAAATCTTTTACCTGAACTGTATGAAAAGATTCTCATCTTGAGCACATTAAGAACATTCTGTAAGTGTCTGAAAATGGAATTGAAATAAGCATAAAATATATAATTGTTTAGAATCATTTGCCTTCTGGCATCACGACTCCTTCGTGTTTAGTGTTTGAGACCTTACGCTTTTGCTCCGTAGAATGATATATATAGAAAGAGAGACTGTTTATCCAGTGGTACATAAAGATAATTTAGATACTGAAATGACAAGATGTTTTGAGAAGAGTAGCAGTGTCTTAACTATTTACCATATTTACCTTATGTTTACTTTTGGACTTTCAATTTTCATAATCATTAATAATGCTATACAGAAAGTAGAGATCAGCAAAAAAGTCATGCCTTCTGAAGGTCATAGAATTGTATTAACTTAGGAAAGGCCAGCTGATCTAGCTTTCTACTTTAATAACCCGGAGACTAGCTTTTGCCAACAGCCTGGAGTTTTTGGACAGTTAAGAGACTTATTGTACACATGACTGAGGTAGACACCAGAATACCAATTTATTAATTTCACCAACAGTGATAATGGCTACACAGACCATAAATACTATGGCTTGTATAATAAATGCAGGGTCCCCTTAGAGTCAAACTATGTGTAAAACAAGAAATAATTAAAAGTCCTTTTATTGATTTACTCTGATAAATCGCTTCACAAAGACCTTAAGTATTTTAAATCTCTTCTTGTCAGCTCATTCTCTACACGGCAATTGGAAGTTTGCTTGGAGAGCATAGAAACAGAACAGTGGAAGTTAGTATCTCTAGTGTTTAGAGTTATTACATATACTTTAGTATTTCAAGTTGGTGATAGACGTGGTGTTGCCAATGAGACTAGGACCATTCCACCTCTAGACCATTGCTTCCTCCCTCCACACGTAGAGTATATGTGGAGGAAAGTATAGTAATGAGATTAGAAATAGCTAAAGACACCTGTAATGTGATGGCCCAGTCTACTTCTCCTCTAGATAGTGCTTACTTGGTAGCCGCCATTTCTTCCTTTCTCTCTGTTATTCAGCTGATCAAGACTTCTGCTATTAGTATTTCTTCTTTACGATTGCAAATACGTTTGATCAGTTTGTTGCTAGGTATGATTGGCCAGGGAGCATTTCTCTATGAGGAGATTTCATATTTCTTATTGATTTCCTGCTTTACCTCCTGGAAGGCAAGGTGCTTTCTTCATCTTGGAGAGATTTGGTGTTGGGTTTTTGGTTTTTTGAGGAGAGGACGTATAGGTTACACTGTAGCTATAATTTTTTTTAAGTTTTTTAACGTTTATTTCTTTTTGAGAGGTCGGGAAAGACTGAGTGTGAGCAGGGGAGGAACAGAGAAGAGGGAGACACAGAATCTGAAGCAAGCTTCAGGCTCTGAGCTGTCAGTACAGAGCCCAATACAGGGCTTGAACCCACGAACTATGAGATCATGACCTGAGCCGAAGTCAGATGATTCACTTACTGAGCCACCCAGGCGCCCCTAAAGTTTTAAAGTAAATAGTATCCATGGTTTATTGAGTGTCCACTTAGTGCTGAATGCTCTACAAGTCATTTTGCATACACTACACAGTTTAGTCTCAAAAAGCATTACCAGAAAATATTTACATCTCATTTTAAAGATGAGTAAATTGAGATAGATTCAAGGGTTAAAGATGAGTAAATTGATATAGATTCAAGGTAAGTCTCACAGCTAGCAAGTAGTAGAATCATTATTTTAATTCATGTTTGTCTGATTCCAGGGACTTTTTTTTTTAAACTGTGCTATTATTCTTAGTAGAGTATCTGCAGTACTCGAATACTCTATTCCTTTGAAACTTTTAACACCAAGAATAGTATTATTCAGCAATGATTAGGAGCATCTTTTTCACAGTAAATTTTAAATTTAAAAATCAGGGTTATATATGAAAGAAGCAGTGTGGCAGCTAAGACTTTCCTGCCTGGTCTAGAATAAGAATGGATGATTAGGTAACACTCTTTGTTAAGCAAAATAACAACTTTCTCAAGGTCAGATCAAGTTGTAAATACAAGAGTTCTTTTCTTTAACTAGAAATTTTAACTCTATACTACTTCTATATAACTCTTGTAGTGAAAAGAAAGGAACTATCTGCTTAAGAGTAATTGCCACACATTTTAAGCTCTAGTAGTGTTCTTAGACTCAAATACAAAACAAAAGTGTTTAATTTTTAATTGTCTAAGTGAATTTTCTTATAGGCATTAGCTCATCAAAACCAAACATCTTTATTTGATTTCCCTCTCTTAGGTATTCTAAAGAGCAAATAAGTCTAGAATCCACCTCTGAACCTTTGATAGCATTGTGGAAATGAAAATTGGAATATTTTTATATTTTCACTTTTTTTACCACTTTGCATATGTGATGTTAGAAATAAATGGGGAGGCGAGGGAAGAAAAATCCTCAAATGTTTCAAGATTAACGGCAATTGTAAAATTTATTCAATTCTTAATAAGCTTTAAGCAAATATCAAACTTTTTGTCATGAAGTCTGAGGTTTGCTTATAACTAATATTTATTTCTACATGTCATAATAATCTTACTTTTAATAAAATGCAAATTTGTTATAATGGCCACCATTCACTTATTTTGTTTATTTTTTGATGAAAGAAATTTTAGTTCTTTTCCCTCTTTTAGCTGCCGACAGTATTTGTTATTCATAGATGTTCTGTCTTCAATGAGGTCTATCAAAGTGTAAAACTAGATGGGTATGTTTTGCTTTTTTTTTTTCCCCTTTAAAATGGAATGGTCTTTCCTTATGCAGTGTTCTTAGGTGAATTCTCTTGTTTAAGAAGCCAGAATACAAGAGAGTGCTATATTAGTGTATTATTCTCACAACAAACAAGCACTGTTCTGTTGCTACCTGCTTGGCCATTGTTTCTGATTGTGTGCGCTTTGCAGTGGTATTTGGATGGTTTCCTGCTCTCTGCCAGCACAAAAAGGCATTTCTGTTACAATGGCCCCTAACCACACAATGACGGCATTAAGGATTTATGTGGAGGTTTCATTATTTTCTCCTCTTTTGTTCCTTCCAGGATGTCTTCCAAGCGACCAGCCTCTCCGTATGGGGAAGCAGATGGAGAGGTAGCCATGGTGACAAGCAGACAGAAAGTGGAAGAAGAGGAGAGTGACGGGCTCCCAGCCTTTCACCTTCCCTTGCATGTGAGTTTTCCCAACAAGCCTCACTCTGAGGAATTTCAGCCAGTTTCTCTGCTGACGCAAGAGACTTGTGGCCATAGGACCCCCACCTCTCAGCACAATACAATGGTAGGTTGCTCATGGTCTCTTGTGCCTACACTCACTTTTTGACCAGTTTGCTCCTCTGATAAGTTTGGCTTCAGTCTTTTGCTTTAGAATTATCATCCACTTAACAGCCATACACAAGATTCATTCCTAACCTCTTAGAATTCTTTATAAGTAAATAGATTCCAGTAGGAAGTAGAAGATGCTTTTTTTCCCCTGTTTTTCAAGAATTTTGCTGTTGAGACACTTACAAGTTAATTAGAAGAAAAAAACATACATATAAGAATAATGTTAAAATAGCACATTTAAAGTTAGCATGAAAGTGAGATGTCACAGTATTTCTATTAAAGGTTTTTCTGGGGGTGCCTGGGTGACTCCGTGAGTTAAGCGCCTGACTTCGGCTCAGGTCATGATCTCACGGTTCGTGAGTTCGAGCCCCGCATCCAGCTCTGTGCTGACAGCTCAGAGCCTGGAACCTGCTTTGGATTATGTGACTCCCTCTCTGCCCCTCCTCCACTCATGCTCTGTCTCTCTCTGTCTCTCAAAAAATAAATAATAAAAAAAGGTTTTTCTGGATAGAGTTACATCATATTTTGAACATCTCCACCATGATAAATCAATGTTTTTCAATTCTTTGCTTTGCCCAGATTGGATTCCAGTATTCCTTATGGTACTGGGAATATTATAGAAGAATATATTTTATAGAAACTACAGTTTTTTAATGCGACTGCAATAATTTCTAACTCAGTCTCATTCACGCTGTTTTGATAATTTGGTAATTCCCTGGTGCATCCTATTCCTGAATTTGCAACTCAGGATAACTTATCTGGCCCCTTGTCCTGGGGTCTGGCTCATTGCGGAAGATTAGGAAACTGTGGTTTCATGGACGAGAGGGAAGAAAAGTGGCTTAGCATCTTTGACTGAAACATATAAGCATGTGCACACATACACACACACACACACACACACACACATACACACACATGTAAGGCTTTTAGGTCCTTCTTAGGAACTTAAATACACAATCAGCATATTGGTAAGGTAGCAGGGCACTTAGCTGCCAATAAAACCACCCTCACCTTTTCAACATGACTGCTTGGGTAGATGGGTTTTGTGACCTTCTCCTCTTCTACTTCAAGGATGGTGGGGCCATTAATATGAACCAGATTACACCAACAAAATTATGTTTCCTCAGACATTCTCATACTTATAAAGACAAGGTTGATTCTGTGAAATCTTTTTTTTTGCTTTCTCTAGAAAATTATTATATATCACAAATGTGCTTGGAACTGAAATACGCCTACTTATTTATGTTACTAAATTACCATATATAGAATTAAATCAACAAGAAGAATCAGATATCTCCTAATAACTGTGAAATGGATGCTGTTCTTTGATACTCACATCAGATTTAAATACCTCTTTCAACATTTTAAGCCTTACAGGTCAGAATTGCACTGGGTATGTGACTATGTGCCAAGATTTTCCCCTCAAGGATAGTATTTCCGCTAACACTATATAACACTTATATAGATGTGGTATTTTAATCACATTATCATATTAACTCATTTGACCTTCACAGTAATACAGTGGGTGTTATTTTTGGTGTCATTTTACAAATGAGGAAACCGAGGCACATAGGGGTTAAATAACTTGATTAGATCACTGTTGATATGCAGGAGAACCAGGGTTGTTTACCCAGACATTCTGGCTTTGGAGTCCATGCTTATAAACATTACAAGCTCCTCACAAGAGCACATGCATATTTTGTTATCTGATTATCTCTTATTTGGCAAGCTAAATCATACTATCCATATCCCTACCTTCTTTCTCTATTGTGAGTTTGTATTAGTTATGTGCAATGATACAACTTTTTGGTCTCCTCTCAAAAAGGTTAAATTAGGAAAAGGAAAGGAGAAAATGGTAGTACACAGTTCAACAGGGTAAGGAGATCATACCCTGTATTTGGCCTTGCATCTCTGCTAATAGCTCTCCTCTCTCAATATTTTGACCATTGCGTTCTCTCAAGGAGTGCTTCTTGGTTTTTTGCCTTGTGATATTACTCTAAACATAAACACACAAATTTGAAGGAGTGGATATAAATAGTTACAACCAGAAGAACATCACAAAGATAAAGGGGAGATTATTTTAAGTTTATTCAAGGATGGATATAAGAAAAGTATATTAAGTTACATTCTGAAGTTGGCATGAGGGGATGCTGTGATGCAGGATGTTAGTGAAAAGGAAACCATTCAGTTTTTAATGGAGAATTCAGTTCAACTGGATACAAACTATGAATCGCCTACTTTGTACCAAGTTTGTTGTTGTTGTTGTTGGGCACTATGGAAATAGATTTAAATAAAACACAACTCTTTTCCCCAAACTACTTCATCTAGAGTAGCAGTTCTTAGCCAGGGCCTATGGGATCTCCTGAAAATGAGTGGACAATTCTGTATTATGCATACATGTGAGTAAGATCATAGGTTTCATCAGATTCACAAGCTGATCTCCGGATACAAGTGGTTTAACTTAGTTTTATTTAGTGACATGAACACTGATTCTTTTACTTTATGTCTAACTAGTTTGTAAATTTGTTCCTGCCTCAAATGTTTCTTGATTCCATCAGCTTTTCATCTCTTGAGTAGACAAGTCTGTGGAAAAGTCTGTCATATGATCTCAGAGTTTTAGCTTCTCTCTGGTTTTTCTTTCAATATTCACTGGACGTGTTTCCCTGAGAAATGAGTTGGATTATTTATCCCACTTTGGAAACTAATGTGTGTCCTTGTTTCTGACAGGATTTAGTCTAAAACCCTTTGGCTTAGCATAAAATTCTGTATAGAGCAGCACCAAACTATGGCTTTGGTATTCTCTTCTGCCACATCTGGCCATGGACCCGGTGTTCTTGTCATGCCAAGTTTTTCATACAGGTTCAGAAACATACCAGGTGACCTCGAATGACACAGCTTTATTCTTTGTACCTGAAAGACATTCTCTTTTCAGATTTTACCTTCCTGATGAACTATGTTTCTCCCATAAGACTGAGTTCAAAAATTGCTTCTTTTTGAGATGCTTTCACAGACTTCCCAAGCAGAATGCTTGCTGAATTATTCTTTTATCTGTGACATTTGTTTATTCTCTTCTCATGGCCTACATTATAATTTATGTGTTTGTACGTTTGACTGTCTGTATACTGTATTTCTCCTTGAAGGCACAGTCATACAAATCACATATATGACATATATGAATATATTTCTGATACTTACCACATAATAGACACTCAGTGTGTGATTACTAATTACTGGCAGAGTTCATATGGATGATTAAATAGTGAATATGTTTTGGGCAGAGTTGTTAAGGCACTATTCATGGAGAATATGCTGATTTTCCAGAAATTTAACAACTAAAGTAGAATATACTAACATAATATATTCAGAATGCTTCAGAAAGTGTGTCATAATAGCCATGATATATTCAGCTGTTAAGCTGATTTATATATTTTATTCATTTATCAAAATGATTGAATATATTTACAGAATTGTTATTCAACACAAATGCATTATACTTTTTCTGGGTAGTAGGCCATTGTCATGTTCACTTAACAGGAACTTTTATTTAAGTAGGAAAATACAGTTTATTAAAAAAAATTAGTGTTTATTTTTGAGACAGAGAAAGACAGAGCATGAGGGTGAAGGGGCAGAAAAAGAGGGAGACACAGAATCCAAAGCAGCCTCCAGGTGCTGAGCTGTCAGTACAGAGCCCAATGTGAGGCTCCAGGTGATGAACCGCAAGATCATGAACTGATCTAGAGTCAGATTCTTAACCAACTGAGCCACCCAGGTGCCCCAGGAAAATACATTTTCTATCTTTTCTCTGTTCAATATCTTTGAAAACAGAGACAATGTTTCACGGTCTCTATTTCAAAGAGTTCAATTTAAGGAGAAAAAAAAAAAAAAAAAAAACAGGTTTCCAGATTTCATTGCCTGTTTATGTGTGACATTCATACTCTATTCTTAAATTTAAAAAAAAAACATGAGAGGTCCACATTTTATATTGCCAATATAGTTTAGAGACAAAGTAAAACTGATGAGTAATCTCTGTAAGGCTGGCTTGAAGTTACATAGAGCTATTCTCTGTATAACATTTAAGTTGGAAAATATTTTCTGCAATAAAAGTTCTGTACACTTCACAGTCGTTGCCATATAAAGATTTTGAGAAATTAGGGTTGTTTGTTCATATCCATTGTATGCAGGCATTTGGAATTGGGTCAAATGAAGGTATAATTCTTCCTTTCTGAAGTTGTGTTTATTGCCTTAATGTTTTGGAGAAATGGATTAAATGCCTAAATAAGAGCAGCCACAGACAGTTATATTGGTGTGGCTACTATGGGTGCTTCTATTCTTGGAATGGTTTACTCATTATTCAGAGTGTGTCGTAGATGAAGTGTCTTCAGATTATGTGCATATATTTATTTAAGAAACTGTCATATTTCTAATAAGTGTAATATTGAGACACATATTGCATAGGTATGTAAAAGGCAGATTTTGTGGGTTCCTTTTCTGAAGCTCTTATTAGCAATTAATGACAAATTTTGATTTTCATGTAATCTTCAAAAAGGTGAAAGTCAAGGTTGGAGAGTCATAGTCTGACATGAGCGGAAGGGCAGTATGCGGCTTTACTTCTACTGAGAATCAAATCTTCTTGTCCCCTTCCCCCCTTTTTAAACATGGGTTTGGAGACTGTCACTGTAGAGTTTCAGAGACAAGCAAGAATCACTGTAATTTCTGGTGGTTTTTAATAATAGTTCTGATACAGATGAATTTATTTCATGATGCAAAGAACTGTTGAGAGCAAACATATCCTCATGTCAGTCAGTGTGATTACAGATGAGCACCAGAAGGGAAGAGAGGGAGTCTGAAGAGAAATTAAGTAGCAGCATCAGAGGCAGCTAAGGGACCATTTTGGTGCTCATTTTCTGTCTGCTTGCATTGCTACTTCTGCTGGTTAGATTGTTGTTGAAGTGTCAA